TGTAAAACAAAGTGTTGACTCCGTCTTCTATACCTTGACCTATTTGTTCGTCAAATATAGGGAGACCGCCTTCATTAAGTTTTACGGCATGTATGATCAGATTTTTAGACTCGGGAGTAAGGTGCTTATCCCACCAATACCTGAGAGTACCAGTAAATCCGGTAACTATCAGTGGTACAATTTCAGACTGTCTGAAACTGTGATTGGTGATATAACTATTGGCGACCATGGACATGTGCTGCAACTTATTAAAAATTTCCTGTTCAGACAGACCATCTATATTCCATTCATATAATTTGTCGGAAGAAACTGAAAACTGGGTTTGAAAGTTTCTTTCTTCAAATTGAATGTCTGGAGGAGTTGGTCTGGGGTACTAATTCTTGGTTAAACTGGTAGGACTTATATGTCGTTCTACTTTCTTAAGTCTGGGTTGGACTTCTAAGTTTTTAAAAGCTTGTTCTATTTTTGAAATGTTACTGGTTTCAGAATCTGTGGACACAGGTTCAGACTCAGAGGGGTTGACGAAAGAATCTAGTGTTTTGAGACCAGATTTTTCAGCTTTTGGGGTCAACTGTTCTAACATTTCTTCTATTTTCTTCATTGTTGGTTTGATCTTAAGAGTGGGACTTGACTTAAGATCCTGGAACTGAACTATCGGCTTTTCAACTTTTAGCTTAGACTTGACTTCTGGGGAACTAACAATTTTATCAATTTTAGTTTCAATTGTGTCCAATTGTTTCCCTATGACAACTAGACTCTGGTTGGTGTAATTGTTTTGTTCAATTAACCTTCTACTTTCATCGTTACTTTCAGCGGCTTTAAAAGGACTGGCGGATATGAGACTATTTCTATGGCTGATAACTATGGTATCAACTGGTGGATGGCTAGACTCAACTACCGTTCTGTCTACCAATTTCCATTTTCTTTTGTTAGGGTTTTTAACTCATTAGGCATATATCGGCTTTCAATAAAATCAAGGTAGAAAATTTCAACTTTGGTTGACCGCATGTAATCTTTCCATTCACTAAAGATTTTATCACGGACATCTCTATCAGGATAGGCTTGGTGGTAACTATCTCTCCTATGCTGGTTTCCTGGGGACTTAAGATGCTGATTAAGTCGTTTCCAATCTATTACGAATTTTCTATTAAGAGTTCTTAATTGATTATCAACTATGAAATCGGACTGGGTTGGGGACTCGGGTGAGTCAGACTTATATTCTTGGTCTACTGGGACCTTGCCATAACAAGGTTGGTTTACCTGAGAGGATTTTCTCAGGGACTCAAGCTTAAAATCGATCATGGCCTTTTCTAACTCTAGGTCTCGTTCTAGAGTGGAAGACGAGGCAGTAAAGGAGTGCCGAGCTGGGGCATGCCTTTGCGACTGACCGGGGGTTGGCAACTGTTGCAACTGGACATTAGACTTTTTTAAAGGCTGATTTTCAAATTTAATTTTAACTGTGCCATCTAGGTATTGTTGGATATAGTCTAAATTGTTTAGACTACGTTGGATGGGAGCTGGTTGGCTCTCGGTAACTAGGGTCCAATCTTTTGGAAGGGCGACCTCTGACTATTTGATGGTCTGAGGGACTTGGATATGGGCATCTGCAGTATGACTCTGGATTAAAACTGTTTGGTCTTTTGGGCTTTTATTTAGGGCTTGAAAATTTATATTAGTGCCTGTAACCTTATAGTAGATTCTATATACTAAGGCTAAAGGTTGGGTGCCTGGAAGGACATCGTAACCTTCGGTCTTAATATTTAGAGTGAGGGCTTTTAAGATGTGTGGATCACTAAGACTTACAGTGAAATCTGGGTAACAGTCGAAGTGAACCGGACCATTACACAGACTAGACTCAATGACTCCTAGAGTACTATCACTGAACTAGGTGAACCGGGCATCACGCAAACAGAGAAGGATAGAGGCTTGTAATCCTAATCTGGTTAGTGGTTTGACAGCTACTTGAACTAGACCTATATGCAAGAAATTATTACCATCAGACTTATGTTTCCTTACAGACTCAAGATTAAGCAACTGACAAGTTTCATGTTCTTTACTTAAGGCATAAACTTGTTCAACTGTTTCGACATGTGTGGTACTATTAAAACTTGAAGGCACCCAATGTTTCTTATAGATTTTTTGACTCGGGATTTTAGGGATATGCCAATCTCTAAAATCTAATTGTTCTTTGCTATTAGACTCAAATTCAAATTGTTCTTCATTTACTATCTCAGGAAGTCGGCTTATATTGGTTTTAGAACTGCTTGAACTACAGGAATTTGTTCTAAATAAACGACTCATGACTACTCAAATAACTGACTTTAGACTCTGAGGAAGAAGATAAACAGTGGCTTCCTAGACTTAACCGTTTTCTCAACAAGAAACTTATTAACCTTTCTCAGTTTTCTGTCTCCTGCCTACCAACGCTGCCCACTACCCTGGGGACTTACAGCAGGAAAAAGGACTCACGGGTCAGACCTTAGAGAAAGATCAACAAATGACTCAGAAAGAAAAAGAAGAAGAAGAAGACAACTGTAGAAATTCTACTCAGAAGCTTAAACCAGCCACTTGGGCGGGGATGAGTAGCAGATTTAGACAAACGACCGTAACACTTACGGCTCTGATACCAACAAAAGGGGGAACCAGAGATAGAGAAGAAGAACGAGGAAGAAATGCAATGCAAGCAAGCAACTGAAACTGATGCAGTTAAAATAATGCTTATAGAAATTTACTGAACATAAAGATAACTGAAAATATCAATTTTTATTTATATACTCACAAAGTACTCACAACAGCAACTAAGCAACTCTTCGAACACAATCTCACAGTGTTTACAAAGATGATTCTTCTAAGAGTGATTAGAGAGAATCTCTAAAAAACTGAAAGTGTAAATTGTATTCTATCTACAACTGAGGCCGAAGCCAACTTAAATAAGAGGAAGCAACTATGGTTACCTAGAAAGTAACTAGGGTAACCGAATGCAACTCAGAGGGTGAGAGCAATGATGAAAGCATGGGTTGTCATCAGACGACTTGCTTTTACTTTGCTTTCGGCAACTTTAACTTGGGTGAAGTGTCGGGCAACTTTTGCTTTCACTCTGTCGGCAACTTTTGCTTTTACTTGGGTGAACTGTCAGGGAATCTGGACTGGAGCGTCACGGGAAAGCGGGGCGGCTGCTTTTCAAGATGCTTTAATCAATTTCCACCGAGGCAATTATGGTGTCGGCAACTAGCTTAGTCAGACCCTAAGTCATAGGCATCATAGGGCTGCTGACTGTCTTCGTACAGGCTGTCTTCATACCAAGATTTCTTCTTGGGCTTGGGCTTCTCTGGCTCGGGCTCTTGCATGGGCTGGCAACTAGACGATGAGGGAGAATCATTGTCCTCATCATCATCCATTTGGGAGGCCTGATGAAGCAACTGGAGGGCCATTTCTCTTATATCAGCATTGGATTTTTCTTCGACTGAAAATGCAGAAGTGACTGATCCAATGGGAGAGACCGGGACTGGAACAGGTCGTGGAGCTGGGTCAACTGGAAGATCATTGTAGACGTATTTGGCGATTCTGTCAACTTCGAATTTGTCCCACCATTTGACTGAGAATTGGCGGGCAAGTACTCTGGTATCCATGGTGACTCTGTAAGACCACTTGAGTATCCAGGGAACCTTGTACCGGGCAAGAAACAGCATTGGCTTAGGAAAGAATAAGTCAATTGCGGTAAACTTGGCTTTACTGGTGAAATGGCGGATGAGCGCCAAAACTGCAGCTGGGAGAATTTCTTCAACTGGGTCGTGCTTTTCCCACCAATGAAGGAACCAGAAGGGAAAAGGACTTTTGAACTTATTGTCAAAATTAATGAACTAGGAATGGCTAAAATCCTCGGACTGGTGGAGGAAGATAGTATACCAGGCTTCAATATAATCAGAATAATTATATTGTAATTTTGACGACTGGAGTGTTTTCAACTGATAGGGATGACTACTGAACGATTCTTGGCTTATGACTCTGTGAATATAGAGGGAATGATAAAGGATGATCTCAGGGTGATCTCGATCCTTTATCGGCTTAATTTCAACTGATTGGGTTTCAAGTAATATATCTCTATAATACTTGAGGGACTTATATGGACTAGGGGGTATATAATGAAAACCAGGAGGAAAATAATGCCTGGCAATAGCAACTGGGTCAGAATGAATATCATAATTAGGTTCAATAACAAATAAATGGGAATTACTCTTGGGCAGATAGGGAGACGATTTTTTGAATGGAACTGAAGGACCTGCAAATGGGTCATAACTAGAAACTAGTGTGGACTTGTAGCTAGGACCGATTTGGCCGACTGTAGAGCCCAAGGCGGAGAACTTATTGGCAACTGAGATTGGCGAGGCAACTCGGATTGGGGTGCAACCAGGGAAATGTACTAATTGCTGGGGAGGCTCAGGCTTAGGTTGACTCATGGAGGCTAGGAGGATTCTGAGCGACTGGGACGACTGGGATGACTTTTGCTTGGCAACTAATGGCTTTTTGGTGACTGACTCTTTTTGCTTGTCTTTTTTGGGTGCCATTGTGTATCCTGCAAGAATTCTCTTGTAAGAAAATCAGGAATGGAGTTCTCACTCCCTCTCAAATATTCAATATCAAAATCAAATATGCTTAAAATACTTTGCCATCGTGCAAAAATCTGTTTAGATGCAATGTTCTGGACATCTTTTTCTAAAACATGTTTTGCAGACTTACAATCAACTCGGATTAAAAACTTTTGATTTAGTAAATCATCTTGAAATTTACTAATGCATAATACAATAGCTAATATTTCTTTCTTAATAGTACTATAATTATATTGCGACTGAGTCCAAACACCAGAATGGAAACGAACAATCTGTTCTGGGGAATTTGGACAGGCTCTTTGCTTAAGAATGCCACCATAACCTATGTCAGAGGCATCGGTTTCAACTATTTTGAAGAAATCAACTGAGGGTATGCCAAGACAGGGAAGTGTCTTAACATGGGCTTTTATCTGTTTGACAATTTCTGTATGAGTGTTTGACCATGGCGGAGGACTATTCTGCAACCTATCAAACAAGGGCTTACATTGTTTTCTCAAATTCTGGTAGAAGTCAGAAACATAATT